AAAATGTAAAAACACTGTAAGTGGAAAACCCCACATAAAATCAAAAAGCAAAATTGCAGCTAATGTGAATTGATGTTGACTGTTTACCTTATAAACTTCTACAAACCAGTAAGAGAAACACTTAAGAGTCGAATGTGGGCCACAGAGATGAAAGCGCACTTCGTAACAGCAGAAAGACCACCGGCTGGCACCCACGGCAGAGGGGCGGGAGGAGCAGGCTGGGAGCGTCGGTGGCCACAGCCCGTCCGTCCACGAGCTCCACCTCTGCAAAGCTGACCTCAAGAACACATCCTGCATCAGGGGGGAACATGCAGCACAGCCGTGTTTATAGTCAGGAAACACTGCAATCGAGCTGGCATTTGGGAGCAGTGACGTTGAAACAGCGTGCCGCTGTCACAAAGCCGGGGGAGCAGGTGCAGCGGCGCGGTGCAGGATCTTACTGTGTCGCTGCAGAGCTGCTTGGGCATGTCATGGTGGGATGGCTTTGTGGAAAATCACATACATAAAAAAAGAGAAAAGGGAGATAAATCAGATGTTGAAGGGTATTCATGTGCTCTTCAAACTTTTGGTAGGTTTGAAATTTTTCATAATTCCAGGAGGGGCAGAAAGAAACAAGTTCTCTACTTGTCACAAGAAGCTGGTCACAGTGGTTGCCTGTAGTATATGTCTTTTTGTGTCTTTTGAATTGTGAGCCATGTAAATGTATTATTTATTCCAAAAATAAAATTTACATTTTAAAAATTCAGTTGTCTCTAAAATTAACTTTTTCTTTTCTTTCTTTTTTTTTTTAATATAAAGAAAAGAAACTTGTTACAGTTCTGGAAGCTGGGAAGTCCAAGGTTGAGGGGCCCACACCTGATGAGGGCCTTCCTGCTGCGCCATCCCATGGCAGACAGTGGCAAGGCAAGAGCACAAGCGAGAATCTTTTTTTTTTTTTTTTTTGAGACAGGGTCTTGCTGTGTTGCCCAGTCTGGAGTGCAGTGGCCATTCACAGGCATGATTATAGTGCACTACAGCCTGTAACTGGGCTCAAGCGATCCTCCGACCCCAGCCTCTGGAGCAGCTGGGACTACAGGCATGCACCACCACGTCCAGCTACTAACATTAAGTCTTTTTATGCTACCAACACTAGTTGAGTCAGATATCTCAAAACAAACACCAAAGACTTGTTAAAAATCATCTTTACAGAAGTGTTTTACAATATGGGGAAATGCTTATATTACAGTAAGTTTAAAAATTCTAAACTGTATAAATGATCTAATTTCATATATGTAAAAATATACGCAGAAAAAAACTTATATATGTGCATAGAAAGAAACAGAAGAAAAATACACCAAAATGCTAGCAGTGGCTGTATGTGGATAAAGAAGTTAGTCGCCCCCTTTGTTCGTGAGCGTTCAGGGCCCTGCCTCAAGAAGCCACATGGGGAAGGGTCACAGGACAGTCGACATTCCACACCCAGGGCTGTACCACTCCCTGCCCTGGACTTCTCTGCACAATCCACGTATTCTACAGTGAGCACGGATTTTACAAACAGAAGGAAATTCTTTTAAAATAGAAATCTGTCCCCATCTTGATTGGGGTGGTGGTTATGCACGTGCAGACATTTGTGGTTAAGTCATCAGAGTACACACTTAAAGCCTGTGCATTTTATCATATGTAAGTTACACCTCAGTTTTCAAAGTGTCAGGGCAGAACCAGCTCTGCAGAGGGGCAGGGTTCCACTGCCAGTTACTGCCCTTGAAGCGAGCTCAGGTGTGCAGCGGTCTGCAACCGAGCTTTCCCGCCTTCCTGACTTCCAGGAAGCCGCCTGCTCTGAACAGGATTTGAGGTAACTTAGTTAACTGGTCTTGACCGAGTTTAAAAGTTGGTGAAGAAATCGGAAAGAAGGAAGTCACAGCAGGACAATCCCGGGTGAAGGTGGTATGCGAAGCAGACTCGTCAGGATCGTGTCACCAAGGCCAAAGGAGGGGACAGGCCTCAGTCCCCCGCCCTCATGGCCACCGTGCCCAGGTCACCCAACAGCACAGACTCTCCTACCAGGTCCCTTTCAGGTTTCAGCTCGAGACCTTGGGACGTGAGTACAGTTTCTCAGTGCTGGTTCTTGGCGCGCCCAAGCATGGCTCAGCCTTCACTGTCCTCTCTCACAGGGGTGCAGAGATTCTGGCCCCTGAACTCCTAACGGGGGTTAGGGCTCAAGGCCCCTGGGAACCCTGGGTACCCGGGTGGATGTGGGCGAAGGGGCAGAACTGGCCACAGCCAGATTTTCTTTAGAAACTAACTGGTAGAATTAATGAACCGAACAAATGAACCAATGTGCTTTACGCCAGAGAAGAATAAGTCTTGTTCTTAATGTCCTGGGTAGAGTGCTTGCCTTTGAGAAGCTGTTAAGGCCACCTGCCAACAGCTGAGAGTTGAGTTGCTGTCTGCCAAGGGACACCTGCACTGGGTCTGCCCTGTGTCCTGCAAGCTCATGGCCAGGGCAATAACGATGACGGCACCATGGTCCTCGCTGCCCTTCCTGGGGCCACAGGGCCGAGGGGACTGATAAGCCTGATGCAGGGCCCACCCTACCTCCCTTCCTCCCTCCAGCCAGCAGCAGCCACTAGATAGCCCAAGGCTCTGCTTATCTGCCCTGCGCCTTCCTCTAGGCTCTCTGCTCCCACCATTTGGGGGGGGGGGGAGGCCAAGCCAGGCGTCACAGAGACACAGTGGAAGCTGTGCCAGGAACCAGGCATTGCTCTGCTGCCATAGGGTTGTGGGACACTGGCCTGACCTCTGGCCACACGGGGCCTCTGCTTCCTCCGATCCCCCTGCCCCACTGCTCCATCCCACTCAAACCAATGACACCAGGTGCCCACAGTTCTTCCAGTGGCCCCGCCTTGCACTTCAGGACCAGCCCAGGTGTCTCTTCCTGATCGCCTGACAATGGGCTCTGTGGGGTCCCCTCCTAGGGCCTGCCTGGCCGGGCAGGGAACTCCGGGGGCAAGCAGCTCCCTCACCCCTGGACCAACTCCCGGTCTACGGGGCTCACCCAAGCTGTCGTCCAAGAGGCAACTGTAGGTCTAGAAGGGAAGTGGAGGAGCCCAATCTGGCCCTTGGGCCTGGGGGTGCAGACCCCACGGAGAACAGGGCCAGGGCTGGGGAGATGTGAGGAAATCTGCACACCAAGGTCCCCATTCAGTGCCCAGGATTTCTAGGCAGAAGCTGCTGCCGCATCGGGGCCTGCAGGCTCTGCAACGCCACCCCAGCCCTAACCCACCCTAGGCCACTACGCTCCATTTCCTCCAAAGCAAGGAAGGGAATCTGCCCCTCCTCCCCATGATATCCCTCACCTGAGGACATGGAATCTTCTAGACTAGAGGACAGAGGCCCCTGACACCCCTAGGTTGGGGTTTGGAAAGATGTTCGTATCCACTGCCCCAAGTGCAAAGGTTCAGAGAGGCTGTTTAACAGACCCAGGACACACAACAGGAGGGAAGTAGAGCCCTCATTCCTGCCTGGAGTCTAGGCTGAGTCAGGAGGCTGAGCACCCCCTCCATCCTCCCCTCCCTCCCACCCCACACTTCCCTTATCAGGGCGGGTAGGGTGCGTGAAGATGGTTCAAAACCTCTTGAAAGGAAAAATCTTAATGGGAAAACTAAGGCCCAGGGCAGAGTCTTGTCCAAGGTCACCCTGCAAGAGGGTAGCAGATCCAGGGCCCTTCCCCACCCTCTCTTGTGTAACCCAGCACCCTGGACCCTTGCACCCCCAGGCATGCTCCCCTCAGGGATGCTGGGGATGGGGTGGGCAGGGGGTGCCCCCCAGCCAGGCTACTCTTTCTTTTTGCAAGACAAGGTCTCACTCTGTCGCCCAGGCTGAAGTGCAGTGGCACCTTCATAGCTCACCACAGCCTCAAACTCCTGGGCTGAAGCAATCCTCCCACCTCAGCCTCCCGAGTAGCTGAGACCACAGGTGCATGCCACCACGCCTGGCCCAAGCTGGTCACTCTTCATCAGCAGACCTTTAGCCCTCTGCTCCTGGCAGGACATCGCGGCCTCCAGCCCACGCCGGTGCAGGTTGAATTTCACCACCCGGCAGAATTCCCAGGCAGTGCAGCCTGGCCACCCTCCCTGGTCCCGGGGCTCCTCAGGGCATGGACCCAGTCTCTCAGCAGGCCCCTTTGTCCTGAAGGATCATGGTGTGTTAATTAACAAGCCTCTATATTCAGAACCTTCCTGGAGAAAGCAGCTCTCCAGGCTGGGGCAAGAAGCCTGCCAATAGGGTGACGCAGCCATCCCAGTCACCCATGGGCACCACCTAAGACCCACTGCAGGCCAGCCAGGGAGCCCACCCAGCTCCAGGGCTGGGCAGAGGGTGGACCCAGAAGGCACATCTAACCCTGCTAAGGGGTGCGCCGCCAGCAGGCAGGCGCGGGGCTGCAACCACTGCAACAGCAAAGGTGAGAGAGGCAGGAGCCTCAGGACCTGGTGTCTGCTGGGGTCGGGTGAGGGGGATAAAAAGAGGTGACAGGGACAAATCCAGGGTGGACTGGTGTCAGAGGGAGTGGCTGGGAGCTACAGTATTACCCAAGGAGTAAGCTGGTGGCCAGTTTGCGGTGGGGCACAAGGAGGTACAGCTTGGGTCATGCCTCTCCCCACCCCTAGCAGGCCTGCCCAGCCCTCCCTGGCCCGGAGGTCAAGTCCAAGCCCCGGCCGGAGTTTACAAGGCCCTAAACGCTGACTGAGCACGATGCCTGTCAGAACTGCCCCGGGCATGTCCTCTTGGCCTCCAGGCCTTCGCACATGCTGTCCCCTGCACCTGCACAACTGCTGCTCAGCTCAGCTGTTACCCCCGCTGGGACGCCTTCCCCGAGGTTCTACATCAAAGTGGGAGGCTGGTCCTCACCCCTCTCCAGAGCTGGGCAGTGAGCCGGGGGGCCGTGCCCAGAAAACCTACCGCAGGGACCCCAGCTGACCGCCCGGCCCAGCCCCCAATGCAGGCGACAGACGAGGCAGAGATTCTGCTGTAGAGGGATCAATATATGTAAAGTGCCCAGTACAACGCTCTGAAAAACAGTTTTGTCCCAAAATCCAGCGCCTAGGGTGCCCCTGGGTCTAACCCTTGCCAGAGAGGTCCAACGGCTGCAAGAAGGGAGGCAGCGGCAGCTCGTCCAGGGCCTCAGGGAAGCGGCCGGGCGAAATGGCGGTGACCAGCACCTGCATGGCACGCGCGAAGAGCGAGGGCGGCGCCAGGCCCGCCAGCCACTGGAACTTGTCCTCGCCCAGTAGCCGCTGCCAGCGTGGCCGGTCGCCCAGCAGCTCGCGGCGAGCCGGGCCGGTGACGGCCGCGGGGGTGTACAGTGCCAGCAGGTCGAGAAGCAGCAAGCGTCGCTGGCGCGGCTCCTCGGGCACATCATCTGGGGTCTCGGTAGCAGCGGGGGTCCCGGCGGGGGTGGCCCCTGCATCGCGACCCAGCTGGCGCAGCAGCAGCTCCAGCGGCGTGAGGCCGCCACCGTCACGCAGGCCAGGTGAGGCGCCGTGGCCCAGCAGCAGGAAGAGGCACTCGGGGCGCGCCAGCTCGCAGGCCATGTGCAGCGACGTGCCACCGCCCTCCACACGGCTGCAGCCGCGCCTGTCGAGCACACGCGCGCGCTCCTCGGCCGGGAAGTCGCGCACCGTGCGCAGGATGCGGCGCAGGATGCCCACGCGGTTGTAGCGCACTGCCAGCGCCACGTGCGGCCCTGGCGCTGTGCAGCAGCGGAAGCCCGCGCTGGGCGGCGCGAGCGCGCGCCGCGGGAACGTGGCCAGCAGGTAGTGCGCGTACGCCTGGTGGTCGTGCACGAGCGCGTAGAGCAGCGCCTCGGACGGCGAGTAGGCGGTGGCGCGCCCGCGCTCGTCCCAGTGGAAGGCCTCACTGGCACGCATGTCCTCCAGCAGCCACACTGGCAGCAGGTCGCGCACCGCCTGGTAGAAGGCGAACGACGACTTGCGACACTGCTTCTGTGCCCGCGAGCGTGCTGCACCCGAGCCCTCGGGCCCGCCGTCGGCGCCGCCCCCGAGCCGCCGTGTGTTCCACGGCATGCTGGCAGCGGGGCTTCTCCCGGCCTCAAGGCATGGGCCCCGCGACAGAACACCTGCGGGACAGGGCATGGGTGAGGGCGGGCCACGGGCTTTGGCCACGCCCCCTTGACCTGGGAAATGGGGGCAGGAGAGGGGCCACCCATCCACCCCTCACCTGGCCCCACTGGGTCTCCTCTTACTGGGACCTTTCTACCCCCCTCCAGCCTCGGCCGGGCCCTTCCAGTCACCCACAGCTCCATCCTCTCCACCCAGAATCACCACCGCCATCCCTGATCTAGCTGCACCTGACCCCCTCCCTGAAACTGCCCTGCTCTCTGGCACCTCTGCTAGAGATGCCCTTCCCTGCCCTACCCCTCTCCAGCCCCGGGACCCGCGGAAGAGCTTCTGCTCCCAACTGGATGAGGTCTCTCCAAACCCACATCAAGTCCAGGCGGAGGGCAGGAAGCTGGGGCCCACATCTCAAGCTGAGCCAAATCCATTCTCCAGCCCAAGTTCCCACCTCTCAGTCCCACCTCGACCCTGACCCTGACCTCCGATGGCCCCTCACCACTGTGGGGGCCGCTGGAGCCTCTCCCCAGGCCAGAGGTGTGATCCATCTAGACTCAGACCTACCTGATTCCTGCACCTCGACCACCGAGTTCTGTGGCTGTGGGTCTATAGCGTTTCCACGAGGAGCCTCATCTTCCTCACCTGTAAGAAAGGGGTATGGCGTGGCCGACCTTTGTGCGCTCTGGCAGGGGCGGCCGGGGGAGTGGCTCCGGCCCTCCATCCACAAACATGTTTGCTGCATGTCAGCGCCCCTAGCTCCTGGGAGGGCAGAGGCAGGAGGGTGAAGTCAGTCTAGGGACTGGCGCGCACGGGGCTCCACAGCCCGCAGTCCCCCCACACGTCTGCTGCCTCTCTTGAGCCCCCCACTACCTGAGGAAGCGGGTGCTGCCATCCCATTTTCCAGCAGGGGACAAGCTTGTCCAAGGTCAGTCATCAAGTTACAGTACAGCTGGGCCTAGAATCCGGGTCTCCTGCGTCCCATTTTGGGCCCATTCCAGATGTAGCGGGGACACCCAAACCACTGGCAGCCCAGCTTGAGCCCTGACCCTGTCCCCTGAGCCCCCAGTCCCAGCCTGAACCCAGGCTTCTGACCCCAGCTCTGGCGCAAGCTCCCTACTGCCTTCTCTCAAGGGTAAGCCCTTGGTCACAAAGGGCCTGGGACAGCGGACAGGCCGCGTCCACACACACTGGGTCACTGTTACCCACTGCAAATGAGTCACAGAAATGGGCATGGTGGGGCTGGGCTGCAGCCCAGCGTCCTTGGGGACAACACCGTGACTGGGCCCCTTCCCCCAGCCTGGGCTCCGCGGCCCTGGTGCACCCTGCGTGGGCCCCGTGGGGCGCCGGGCGGGTTACGTAAAGTTCGGCCGCCCCACGTCACTGGGCAGAGTCACGGCCGCGGCTCCGTGCACGGGGGTTGGGCCACCCAGGGCAGCGCCGCGCGGCGTGTCAGCTCCTCCGCGTCCCCTCCCCGCGGGCACGGCCCGACCTCGAGCCGCGACGGGTCGCGGGGGCGAGCCGGTGTCTGCGGTCGGCGGCCCGAGCTGCACCTGCGGGGGCGCGCGCCGAGGGGCGGGGGGCGGCGCCCGCGAGCCGAGCGCAAGGGAAGGGGGCTCACCGTGGGGGCGGCGGGGCCGCGGGGCCGCGGGCAGGAGCGCGCACCGTCCCCGCAGGCGAAGGTCCCACGGCGGACAGACGGGAGCCGCCGCCGCGCGCCGCCACAGCCGCGCTCTGAGCCGCCGCGGCCGGTCGCTGGGCGGTGCGGGCCGCGGCGGCGCGGCGGCGGGCGCGCAGTGCGCCGCCGGCAGGACGCGGGACGGTCCGCGGCCGCCATTGGTCCGCGCCGCCGGCCCCCGCCACCGCCCATTGGTCGCCGCGCTGCACCATTGTTACGTCACCGGCCGAGGGGCGGGGCGCACAGCTGGACCCGCGGAAAACTTCGGAGAAACTTGAGGCAGCGGGAGGCCGGGGACCGGCGAGGAGGGGCGGGGCCGCGCCGGGGCGGGGCCGAGCCCCGAGGGGCGGGGCGGGGCGACCGGAACCCCAGCTTTGGGCGAGGAAAAGCTCCGCGCCCGGGCGCTTTCGGGCTCGGTGCTGGGGGGCCGGGCCCGGGTGGGCGCTTGGTCCGCGCTCCGGGGGACTCTGGTTGCCCGCAGGGAAGCCCCGGGTTCCACCGTGCGTAACTTAACTCGTGGCCACACGAGTCATGGTCCAGGTCCCCTCTGCCCTGACCTTCCGTGACCTTGGGAAAACCCTCCCGCCTGTTTTCCCATCTTTTGTGGGAGGGTCAGGGGGTAGGAGCTGCAACTCCTAAGGTCTCCCACCGAGTTCTGCCCGACCCTGGCCCAGCCCCTGCTTTCCAAGCTGACCCTCCCAAGAGACGGATGGATGTATGAAGACAGCTATTTTTTTTTTCTTTTTTTGAGACTAGGTGTCGCTCTGTTGTCCAGACTAGTGTGCAGTGGCATCAGCATAGCTCACGGCAGCCTCAAACTCCTGGGCTCAGGTGATCCTCTGGCCACAGCCTCCCAAGTAGCTGGGACTACAGGCCAGCGCCATCAAACCTGGCTAATTTTTGTCTTTTTTTGTAGAGATGGGGTCTTGCTATGTTGCCTGGGCTGGTCTCCAACTCCTGGCCTCAAGCAGTCCCCCTGAGTGGGCCTCCCAAAGTTCTGGGACTACAGGTGTGGGCCACCCCACTGGCTTAGACAGCTATTTATGAGTGCCCACTTTGCCCTTCTCTGTCTAAACACACCTAATTTACTTCTTTTTACAACCACCACTAGTGGTGGGAAGCATCGGCCAGGAAATCACACTCAGGGAAGTGGCCTCCAAGTGAGGAGCTGCCAAGAAGGCAGCCAGGGGCTGCCCCTGCTGTTCTGCAGACATTTGTGGTGGATTGGAGCTTGTGGGCTGGGCTCAGCCGCCTCACAAGGGGCCCAAGGTTTGGGGTCATTTACCTGAGAGCTCCGGAGCCTGGAGTCAGCCTGTCTGGTGTCCATTCCCAGAGCATTAATTTATGCACTCATATCCAGTGGCTGGGAGTCCCAGGCCCGTTTTACAGACGTTGACATTGAGAGCCAGAGGGGCAATGACTGCCCAGCTGAGGCCCCTCCTATTCTCCCAGATGGGCCCTTCTACTTGGAGCCCCCATTCTCTGAGGCCGGGCAGCCATGCACGGTCTCTGGGTGGAACTCCCAATATTCCATGCAGAGGCTCTTTCTGGTTTCCTCCCCCAAATGCTGTCTCCAACTTCCAGAACTATCTCACCCAGGGAGAGGATGCAGTCTCCATCCAAACATGTCCCCCTGCCTCTGCCCGGGTGGGAGGGGGCCTGGCCCAGGGTGCACACCTCTGCACACTCAGCCCTACCCTGGCTCCTCTATGCCCCCTATCCCCAGCCAGTCGGGGCTGGGGTCGGGGGACCTGTCTGTGTCAAAGTCTCACCTGGGCCTTCTGAACTGACTCAGGCAGGCCCCTGCCCCCAGCCCAGTGAGTGTCCAGCCCCCCACACACATGCACACACGAGCTAGTCCTGCTGCAGAACTGTGCCCTGAGAGGCTAGGTGGGCAGCCCCAGAAGGTAGACGAGGTTCTGAGGTGCAGAGAGGGGACAGAGCTGGCCACCTCAGAGCAGGCAGGCAGTCATGCACACCTTGACCCAAGCTGCCATATGTGTACCCTCAAGGGAGCCTGGTGAGACCCAGCAGCCCTGCCCCACCTGAGTGCATGCGACTTGCAGGCCATACCATCCCTCTCGGGAGGCCCATGGAACTACCACATTACAGAAACCAGGTCATCAGCCAGGGGTCAAGGGTACAGAGGTTGCTGGGCTTGGAACCTGAGCCTGCCTTTGCCTCCCCTTTCCACAAGTCTCCTCCCCCTCTAGGCCTCAGTTTCCCTAGGATTTCACCCAGCTTTCCGGTTTTGGATGTCTCTGAGTATGAAGGTTATGGGAGCAAAGGTCCCGGAGTCAACATTCAGCCTTTGGGAGCTCCCAGGCCCCAGGTGACATCCTAGGAAGGGATGTCCCAGGTGAGCTGCCTGTGGCTCAAGGCTGCCCTCCCTCCTTCCCCCACTCAGTTGTGAGGGCTGGAGCTGAGACTGGTCCATCTCCATGGCTACCTGTGGGCTAAAGGTGAAAGGGCCTCCAGAGATGCCAGGGTGTGCATTTGGCCTTAAGGCAGGTGCCTTCCTTCTCCCCTGGCTTTGCCCTCCTCGCTGGCGATCCCAGAGGCCTCTAACAGGTCTGCTCTTGTTTCTCCACGGCTTAGAAGCTGCCTGTGGACATGGACGTAGCCAGAGGACCGGGGTGGGGGGCGGGGGGCATTTCTGGCAGAGGGCACAGCTGGAGCAAAGGTCGGGAGCATGGCAGAGATAGGCTGCAGAGGCCAGGTGGCAGGGCCAGGTCCCACAAGGCCTAGAATGCCAGTGAGAAGCTTGGACATTCTCCTAAGGAACAGCGGGTGGCCATGGAGGGGGTTGGAATTTACTAGTGAGTTATTTCAGGCTTACGTACAAAAACAATCATGAATGCCTGGGAGCCACGACTTAGTTTAAGAAATAACACCTGGGTGAACCTGAAGTCCTGTGTGCCAGTCCTCCAGGCTCTGTGGGTCCTTCCCGTGATGCCAGTGTGACACTCTCATCATGGTGCCAGACAGGCTTGCCTCGCACCGCTCTACTGTGGAGTCTCTTGCTGGCGAAAGCTGTCCCCTATGTGGGCATGAGTATGGCCTCCATGGGACAGTGGCAGGGTCTGTGTCCAGGGACAGCAGTGCCAGGGCTGGTCATGTCCCTCCACCAGCTCCAAAGCTGCCTAGGAGACAGTGTGAACAGCCATGAAGGGGCAGGATCCTTGAGAAAGGGGAGTGGGTGGAGCATGATTTCCAGAGACATCTAGGAGGCTCCAAGGTGGGGGGTGGGGGGGATAGGGCATCTTGCATCTTGGAATGGGATTTGACCTTGGACTCTGTCACGCTCCGGCTGGGACCTGACCCAAAGCACAGCCTCCTTCCTCCAGCCCTCCCTGTGGCGGGGTCTGTGTGCCCAGCTCAGTCAGGACAGAGAGACGGGGCTGCAGGTACAGACAGAGGACCCAGGCAGGGCGGGCTCGCACGGGAGGATGAGGTGTCCTCGGGCTGCCTCTGGCTGCTGAGAAGAACCGCGAGGTGGGGGGGCCGAGAGTGGCCAAATGCACATTTATCCCAACTGACCTCTCCCTTGTCCTCGGGACGAGGGCCCAGGGGCAGCAAGGGGCACACCTCTGCCCGCCAGGGTGTGAGCGTGAGCAGGAGGGTCTGGGATGCCTCCCAGGTGACCAGGGAAGCTGAGGCACAGGAGCTGGGGGAGAGCCAAGAGGCGTCCGAGGTGCTCTGAGGTGAGGTCAAAAGGGCACAGGGTTCCTGGAAGCCACGGTGTCCCAAGGATGAGGGAGTGGTCAGCTGGGACAAATGTGGATTTGGCAACACGTAGGTCACAGTGCCCTGTTTGGAGAGGAGAGTTCAGGAGCACATCCGGAGAGGGACCGAGAGCTGTGACAGGAGTAGAGGAAGGGGCAGGAGGTGGAGGGCAGGCAGGGTTAAAGAATGAAAGCGTGGATAACACGTGTGTGCATGTATGTGCAGGTGTGTGTGTGCATGGGCATGTGATCATACCCACAGGGGCACCGTGCGTGTGTGCACATGCAGCCTATGCCCACGCAAGTGTGTGCGCATGCTCATGTGCACCGAACCCGGATGGACCAGCGAGGGGTGGGGAGAGGGCCACCTTCAGCTGGGGGGATGGGTGGCTCTTGGGGGGCAGAATGGGGCACAGATGCAGGTGAAGGCACAGGTAAAGTTGGGTGGCGAACCCTGTGGTTTCTGTTTTCACAGTCACCTGCTGAGAGTGACAGGGGTGGCGGACTCGTGGGGCCGGAGGAGAGGGGACCATTCACTGACTGTGCCCAGATGCTCCCTGACCTGAGCCCCTGCTGGCCCCAGCAAGGCCGGCGGAGCCTGTCATCAGAGCAGGGGATGTGTGGCAGGTGGCTGGGCTGGGAGCACAGTTCAGGGCGTGCGCTGAGTGCAGAGGGAGGCGGCAGCAGCTTCCTCAGGGAGGGGCTGGCGCCGGACACGCTGGTCCTACCCAATCAGCTGCTCACCAGTAGCTCCACCTGTCTGAGCCCCAGTCACTTATCTGTGAAATGAGTCATGTGGATCTTCAGATGTCAGAAGGCAGGTGTTCCAGGTAGCAAGACCAGCAAGGCCAGAACAGGAGTGGCAGGACCAGGTGAGAGGTTAGGTGTCCCACCACCCACCCCACCTCACCCAGGTCCTTCCCTTCCCTCCTGGCCAGGCCAATGC